TCACATTGGAGGGTCGAGGAGATAGCTCAGCAGCATAAGTACTTGCCTGATAAATGTAAGGTCCTGAGTTTGATCCCAGGTACAAAAAAAAAAGGGGGAAACATTGGAAAAACAAGCTCAAATAACCTAATATGGAATCCTAAGCTAACTGAGAAACAACCATCTAAACTGTTACAGTTTACGACTAATTCAATGCTGGGTTTATGGTGTGAGTGCTACCCCCGGCCTAGGGCGGATAGTCTGAATGCAATAAGAGGGAGGGAGAGAGGCCTGCTCTCTGCTGTTACCACTGTTCCTCCCTTTTTGCTCTTGCTATTTTCTGCTGCCATGAACTGCTGCCCTCTGCCATGTGCCACTCAGCCTTGGAGCCAGCCGAGTACAGACTGAAACCTTTACAAATTGGGCTAAATAAACCTTTCCTTCCTTAATTTTGGGTGTTGGATTTTTTTTTCCTTTTCTGAGCATTTATTATAAGATCCCAACAGTTTAATTTTTTTCTTCTCAACATCCTGCTCTGTGGCTTCCTTGGCTCTCTTCTCCTGGATGCTAAAGAACTGGGTGTTGGCGCGGGCCGTGCACAGGCTGGCAAATGCTTTGAAGTTCTTTTCTACCTCTGTGATGACTCTGGCTGCCTTCTCCTTCTGTGGACATTTCTGAAGGGCATCACAGGTCCTATCCGCAGGGTGGCCACCTGGAGTTCTTCAGCAGAGCTGTCTCCTCTTTTTGGGGGCCAATGGCTTCCTGGGGGAGAGGATGAGCTTGGAGTGGTGCTTTTTCAACTGCTGCACATTGGCCTGCAGGGACTTGGTGGGTTTGTTCCACCGCCTTGGGTTCACCGAGATGCCAATGGTCCAGGCCACCTGCTTGTGAATGCCGCCACCCACAGGTCCTCCAGACTGAAGCCCCTGCTGGCTCGGACCTTGGTGTGGTATCACACTGTGGGACAGGGCACAATGGGCCGGATGGGTCCAGACGCGGGGCCTGGGGCGATGCGGCGCGCTTTTGCCTGCCCAGCCTTGAACTGGCAGATCTTCTGAGATGGCTGATTGAACCACTTAGCCATACGCCACTGCCAGTCCTTGTGGCATTGGGGCTTCACAATCATGCCATTCCGGCTGGGTGCCATGACTGCCTCGTAGGCCGCGGATTGGCGGAAGCTTGTGTTGGATATTTTGTCCTAGCAATGAGAGAAAAGTATCAGAAACAAACCAAATTTATGGAGGGAAATCATTAAAATCAGAGCAGTAATTAATGAAATTGAAATTTTAAAAAATTACAAAAGACAAGACATTAATGCAACTGGAAGTAAAAAATGACAAAATCACAATAGACAATATTAGAACTCAAGATAGTAGCTACTGTGACAAGTTGCATGCCAAAAAATTGAAATTTTTGAAGAGATAGAATAAATTGCCAGAACTAAATGACGAAGACATAAAACCTCTGAATAATCCATTGACAAGCAATGAAATTGAGGCAGTAAAAATAAAACAACCTACCGACTAAGAAAAGCCTAGGACTGGATGGTTCACTGCTGAGTTCTATAAGACCTTTTACAAGAGTTTAACAGCAGTCCTCCTCAGACTTTTTAATGACACTGAAAGGGATGGCATGCTTCCAAACTCACTTAGGGAAGCCAGCATCATGCTGATACCAAAACCAAAGAAAGACCCAGCCAAAAAACAAAACTACAGACCAGTCGCCATAATGAACACAGGTGCAGAATGCTTAATAAGGTACTGACAAACAGAATGCTACACATCATCAAAAGGATCATACATCATGAACAGGTAGGTTTGATCTTGGGATTGCAGGATATTTCAACATAATGTAAATTAATAAATGTAATATACCACGTAAACAAGGATGAAAACCACATGGTTCTACCAGTAGCAACAGAAAAAACATTTGAGAGTTGAACACCTATTCATGGTAAAATCCCAATAGGTATGAAAGGACCTTACCTGAGCCAGATTCAAGCCACTTATGATAAACCTACTGGCAACATCATATTAAAAGGGGAGAAGCTGAAAGCTTTCCCTTCAAAATCTGGCACAAGACAAGTATGTTCACTGTCATTTTTGTTTAACATTATACTCAAAACAGGTGAAAAAAAAAGGGTATATATATATATGTATATAAAAATGTATGTTAGATATTATATAATGTATAAAATATTTGCAGATGACATGATCCGCCACTTATACGACAAAAGTCTTCCCACCAAAAAGCTACTAAAAGTCCTAGAATTAGTAAGCAAATTCAACAGTGCATCAGGTTACATAATTAACACAAAAATAATGGTGCTCCTTAACACTAGTAATGAACTCATTTAGAAAAATTAGGAAACCCAACATTCACAATAGAATACAAAATAATTCCTAAGAATTAACCTATCTAAGGAAAACTGAAAAAAGAGATTGAAGAGTACATGAAAAAGAGGAAAGATATCTGCTGTTCTGAATAGGGAGAACTAATATCAAAATAGGTTTTCTTCTAAAAGAATATAGATTTGTTGTAATGCCAGTCAAAAACACTATTCCTCACAGATTCATATGGAACCAGAAAAGACCCTCGACAGCATAAATAGTCCTGGGCAACAAGAGCAGAGGAGAGGGAGCTCACAATCCCTGACTTCAAGCTGTACAAGGTTATAGTGATTAAAAGCAGCACAGAATTGGCACAATAACAGATGTGTGGATCAGTGGAATAAAACAGGGTGCAGAAATAATCCCAGTCATATTTGGCTATTTCATCTGTGATAAAGGGGTCACAATATATTGGAGGAAAGATAGCCTGTTTAGCAAATTGTGCTGGGAAGACTGACTGCCCAGCCATAGAAGATTGAAGGTGGACCCATATCTCTCACCATGGCTGATATCAAAATGGATTTTACTAAAGACAGAAGTATTACAACAGAGAACATTGAACCTCCTGGAAGATTCAATAGGAAAAGCTCTTGAAGTCATTGAGCAGGCAAGGACTTTTCTGAACAGAACACCATTTGGACAAAAAATAATCAGATGGATCATAGCAAATTGAACACCTACACAGCAAAGAACACAACAGAGTGAAGAGACAAGCCACAGAATGGGAAAAAATCTTTTCCAGCTGTGTCTCAGAGGTTAATAGCTAAAATATATAAAGAACTAAAATAAATAATTAAATAAAAAATTAGACACTGCTCCAAATAGAGGACATAATTAAGAAATACGCAAGTGAAATGAACTTCTCAGAAGAATTACAAATGGCAGATAAACATGAAAAAAAGTTCACTATGTCTAACCAGTAGAGCAATACAAATTAAAATAATACTTAGATTTCATTTTCCACAGTGGGTGGGGGAGTGGTAGAAATAGTCTTTAGGAAACTAAATACTAAATGGTGGCATGGCTGGGATGAAAAAGTAAGTGTATTATTTATGAGACTAAACTAGCAAAACCATAGTGAAAACTTCCCAGAAAAAAATTAAACTAGAAATCCCCTTTGCAATTCAACTGTTTCACTTCTAAGTATCTTTCCAAAGAGCTAAAAATATCATGTTACAGAACTGTTAACAGCAGCACAGTTTATAAAAGCTGAATTGTGGGAGCAGCCTGCATGTCCATCAATAGACAAATGAATAAAGAAATTATGTTCTTTATGTAATAGAATACTAGTCAGCTGTTAAAAAGGAGAAGCTCAAGACATTTGTAGGAAAATGGACACACTTTGAAAACCTAATGTATAAGCCCGGCACACGTGCTTGAATATGTAGTAATTTCTCTCATTTAATTCAGAGTACAAATAAAAATCAAAATATCTTCTGCAAAAGGGAATGGAACAGAGTCTGAGGGAAAGAGAGGTGAAAAGAAAAGAGTATAGACACTTAAAAGCATCATATATTTGTACCAACAACACTCAGTGAATATAGCGCTTGCATTTTGTAAACATGAACTAATAATAATAATGAAAATAGGGGAAGATAACCTAGGGATGGAGAAAGGGGGTGGGGCTAAAAAGAATCAAGATCCCTTCAGTGCATGTGCCCACACCCTAAAATGAAGGTAAGCGTCACATACTCCAAACGTAGACAAATAAAAACTAAAGAGCACCTTTGAGTTTTACAGGTGTAGTTCTACATTTGCTAATTATAGAATCTTAAATAAGTTCTCTAATCTTTATAAATGTCTGATTCCTCATCTATAAAATGGAAATGATAATTTCTTCATAAGGTTGCTGCAAATATTGAATGAAATAGCAAATGTTTACAAATTGAGTAGGCAGTTAATAAATGATACCTAAATCATAGTGGTATATCCTCTATGCTGTCATGCTAACTCGTTGTTAATTCAGCTGATTTACCTGTAGTGCTGTCAGCTAAGCAAAGTGGGTAACCCCATTACCTGCGTGAGCAGGTTGTGAGTGGTGTCAGGCCTCAAAAGTTAATGGCCAATACGTGAATGTAAACAACCCGGGCCATCTATCTTCAAATACATGATCTCTCTCTCTCTCTCTCTCTCTCTCTCTCTCTCTCTCTCTCTCTCTCTCTCTCTCTCCATGGTCTCACTATGAAGCTCAGACTCTTAGTGATCCTCCTGTCTCAGCCTTCCCAGAGCTGGGGTTAGGTGTGCTGTACCACACTCAGTTTCGGCACGGGGCTCAGGCTGGGGCCGGCGCTTGGTACCTGGGATCTAACCCAGGTCCTTGGGCTTGCCAGGCTGGTCTTTTTTGGTTAGTTAAATTTCCTCCCCCAACTGTGGGGAGTGATCACATAGTTCTGTGTGATGCAGCAGGGTTAGCATTGTCTGACACCCTCAAGTGAGATAAACTTCAAGCCATTAATCTTGCAGTGGTGTTACTTTCAGTAAAATAGTGAAGAATTCATTTTGTTGTTGTTGTTCAATTGGGTAAGAATTACATGTTTATGGAACACTTCATGTAAATATAAGTGAAATAATTGTGTAAGATCATTGCAGTAATTTTCTTTTCCTCCTCTCTTTCCCCTTCCCCGATCCCAGGCTTTGGGAAAGAATTTCAGGACTTGGAAGCAGGCTGTAAATCTCACGAGCTCCACCCAGAGTCACATCTACATAAGAAACACCCTGTGATAAAAAGGTCATCATAGATAATGGGACATTTTAAAACCATTTTTCCTAAATGCATACATTATACTAACTCTTTATAAGGAGGGCATAAGTATAAAAATCAAGTCTACCTGCTGTCTGTTCATTGGGAGTCATTCATAGAATTTGGACCTCACAGTAGAGGGCCTGCAAAGTACCTACAGGTACCGTCAGCGATCATTCTAATACTCATGGTATCATGGTATTCTTTTTTTTTTTTTTTTAAATTTTAGTAAGGGTCTACAGGGTCTCACTACATAGATTGGACTCAGTGATTCTCCTCTGTTCAGCCTCCAAAGAGCTGAGATTACAGGCACCCACCACCACGCCCAGTCTGAGTCGCCAGCTCAGTGCACCTTGGAGTGGAGCCTGCACAGCAGGCCAGGATCAAGTTCTGGCTGCTGAGTCTGCTTAAGTAGGTGCTTTAGTCCCCTGAGCTATCTGGCTGGCCCCTCTCATGGTATTCTTACAAGGTGGGTAGGTGGTACAATGTGAAAGGAAATACATTCTAAAAAGTCTAGTAGAAGCCTGAAACCGTGGGTAGGAGTACCAAGCTCTGTATGTATTAATGCCTTTGATGTCTGAATCGAGCACTTATGTCCTGTGGCCATAACTTTTGAGTTAGACGTCTAATAACAAAAATAGCACAAATTTCTAGAGGATTTGCTCCTACTGTAGATATTAGTGACCCTAGCTCACTTTTTTTTTCTTCTCCAATTTCTCTGGCTTATCTGAGTCACCAGCATCATTATCCTGATGCCTTAGGGCTACTAAGTAAACTGGGATTTCATGAAGACACTGTGACAACATTACAAGAACTGATAACTGAGAGACTAATGGGTGGATACTGCAAACAATGTAGATAAACTGGACAGAACGATGATTTTTTTTCTAGGAAAGACCACAGCAGATTTCCTGAAACTTAGAATAGTGGCATGCAGTTTAGATATCATGAATTCTTTATCTTAGGAATTTTCTACTTAGTATTGGGGCTCCTGGTGCAAGCCTGTAATCACAGCACTCTGGCATGCTTAGGCAGGACAGGGATTTAGTTTTATATAAAGGCTCTGGAATTATTTCCCAGTACTACCAAAAAAAAAAAAAAAAAACCAAAATTCACTTAATATTTTCAGACTCCAGTAGACCATGCATAACTAATACCATGGGTAATGGGGACTACTGTATTTTATTTTTAAAAATTGAGCTTTAGATTAAGTGATGTACTTAAAGCAATGAGGCTGAGATTTTATTTTACCTGTATTTATCTAGCCAAACCATTCTGCTGTAATTCAAGTTCATGTAATGTATAGGAGGAAAAATAGCTTAAACATATGAGAAATATAATTTGCAGCATGGTATCACTTATGTTTATTGTAGAAGTTAATATAATCTCAAAAAATTTTAAAATCAGTATATTAGGTTTATAGAAATATATATTTAAGATATTTAAATTTATAAACATAAATTTATGTATATAAATATTTATATACATTTACTTATATATTTAAATATCTCTGCCTTTAAACTTGTAATGTTGATAGAAAGTATTTTAGAGTATTGAGTTGTTTTTTTT